GAGGGGGTGGGGGGGCCTCTGGTCAAACACAGGTTATTGTCCAGACCTTTCTTTTGCTCTGGCTTTGCACCTTCTAACGCGAGTCGGTCAGGTAAGTGATTAAGGTGGGCATGCAAGGACGCACGGAGGGTCACAGGGACATGCTTGGGCCGAGGTCCTCTGGGGCGAATGTGAGGGGCCGCAGGAATGGCCGGAAGGCAGACCGTGTGGGAACGCAGCTCGAGAGCCACCCGGAAGAGGTGGCTGGAGCCGGGTCCAGGCGCCAGAATCCACAAGAGCCCCAGGACGGGATGGACAGGACTGGCCCCAGGACTACAGCACCCCCCCTTCCCCGGTCCAGTTCATCCACTTGGGCTGTGGCTGGCCAGTGATTTGGGGGTTCACCTTGGCTCCACGGAGAGAGCTTCACTCCCCAACTCGGTCCCCACGGTCCAGGCTCTGTGTGACCCTCCGATGGTGCTGTGGGCCACGAGCTCACGCTTGGCAAAGAGCACTGCTTTTGGAGTCAGGGGGCCTGGGTTCGAGTCCCAGTGACGGCATCGGCACTGTGGCCTTAGACACTTCCACGGCCCCTGAGCCCGTCTCTCCAGCCATCAAGAGGGGTCCCCCCACCCCGCCCCTGATCGCCGGGGCCAGGGTGAGAGGTCGGCACCCTCACACAGCCGCTGAGGACACACACACACACACACACACACACACACACACACAGCCTGCCCACCTGCCCTTCCAAGGATGCAAACGGCTTTGCGCCAGGATGCTGAAAGCAAGAACCAAAATATCGGACGCCGAAGCAATCGTAGTCCTGGCCACCCCCCTCCCCAAGTCCCTGACACTGTTAATTAGAAACAAGAGTCCCTAGATGGCTTGCTATGGCAGGACTTTACAGCCAAGCAGGGGCACTGCCTGGGGTTGCTGTCTTGTTGCCTGGCGACTCCATGAGTGCCCCCGGCTGCTGGGTCACCCCAGCGCTCCTGTGGCCGCTCCGATGCTGTGCCGTGTGCGGCTGGCTCTGGGGCAGGGTGTCCTGGGCGGCCTCCTTGGCTGACCCCATCCTTAGATGACCTCTGTCCAGCACTGTCCTTCTCAGCAATGGCCTCTAGCCGGAAATGCCCCCTCTCCAGGGCCTGGCTCCTACCCATCCCCCCTCTCGGGATCAGCTCGGCCCTCCTTCCCCCTCCGCACCCCAAGCTGCACCCCAATTTCCTAAGATTCAGGCCAGCTGGGGAGCACCCCCTCTCAAAGCAGCTCGGTTTTCTCACCCATCTTATGCCTTGTCTCTGGCCAGAGAAAACCAGTCCCAAGGCAACCTTCTCTCCCTTTCTCCCCTCCCACAGGCGCCTCCCTCTCGGGACTCCATCTCATTCTTGGCTTCCTGGTCTTAACGACCAACAGGCTCAAGTTTCCAACATCCTAAAAAAAGCCTCCCTGATCCTCATCTCCTCCTCGGGCCACCACCTTCTTCCCTCCCCTCCCCTCCCCTCCCCCAGCCGGTCACGCCAACCCTCTGGCTATTGCCACCGGCCAGGACGGTGCTGCTCAGCTCAGCAATGACCTCCCCCAGCCACTCCGCAGCCTCTTCCGTCACGCCCTCCCGTCCTGGCCCTTGATCGGCTGGACCCCACATGGCTGGCCAAGGCCCTCCCCTGGACCCTGGAATCTACCAGCTTCTGACAGTGACACTCCTCTTTGGTTTCCTGTGGTAACTTCTTCTCCCCGATGCAGGTGGACCTTGAGGGGGCCCCCTTGTCACTCCCAGGGTCCCAGCCGCGGTGGTCCCAAGCTTCCGACGTGCACTTTGCCTACGTTGCTTTGGACTCACTTCACACACCTGCTCCTCGGGGAGAGAGAGTGTTGATCCCATTTCACAGATGAGGAAACTGAGGACAGGAACCTGTCAGAGAGCCAAGATGGCCACATGTGTGTGCCCTTCACCCTGACAGGCACCCCAGTCCTCAGCCCTAAAAACCCACGGCCACCCCCTTGGGCTTGGCCCACAGCCAGTCACCAGGGCAGAGCCGAGGCCCGGGGCTGCCCCCACCTGGGGGCCGGGAGGTTGAGTCATCTCAGAGAACATTCTCGTTTTCCACTGCTGTGGCGTCTGTTACGGAAGGCCCAGCTGACACTGGCAACTCGATCTGTTTACTCTTGGATTCCTAGCCCAGCAGAGCGAGGCCCTCACACGGGCCTCCCCTCAGGCATGCGACAAGCCCCGGCCAGTTGGGAGTCCTGTTCGGGCAATGGACCTTCAACAGGAGGCAAGGGTGGTGGGGGCGGGGCCGTGGCCGAGCAGACCCACCCTGAGAGCTCAGATCTATGAGCCAGACCAGTGAGCAGAGGGACAGGAGCCGTGAGGGTTTATTTAATTTGCGGAAAGCTTACAACAGGTTCCCCGTTGAACAAAAACCACAACGTCAAGCCAGGAAGGCCACGGTGTGTGACCTCTTTCAGCAATGGGACCCTGGATAGAGGGTGACCCAGCTTCTGCTTGCATGCCCCTAGGTTAGGGAAGCTCACTCCTTTTTGAGGCGATTCATTCCATCCAGGGGTGGCTTATTTCTAGAAGGCTCTATCGATGTGGTCTCCAACACAGGGCCCGATGTGGGGCCCAAACTCACAAACAACGAGATCATGACCTGAGGCAAAGACAGATGCTTTAACTGACTGAGCCACCCAGGTGACCCAAGAAACGTTTTTAATGAGATCAAAGCCGGGCTTGGATCATAATTTCTCATATCCTTTTTTTTCTTAACCCCAAACTTACAAAAAAAATTTTTTTAATGTTTATTTTTGAAAGACAGAGGGGGAGGTGGGGGAGTACACGAGCAGGAGAGGAGCAGAGAGAGAGAATCTGAAGCAGGCTCCACACTGTCAGCTCAGAGCCCGATGTGGGGTTTGATCTCATGGATCGAACCACGAGATCAGGACCTGAGCCAAGACCAAGAGTCAGACGCTTAACGGAGCCACCCAGGCGCCCCTTTTTACCCCAAACTTTTTAAAAACGGTGGCATGATTTACCATAATGAAACATACACATTTCAGGTGTACAGGTAGATGAGTTTCTGCAGATGTATAATCCCATGTAGCTCTGTCCCAATAACTTACGAATGTCCCCAGCACCGCAGAGTCTCCGTCCCTCGCTGTCAGCCCCTACGACCCACAACAGGAAACCCCTGCTCCAGGTCCTAACTGCATGGATCAGTGTGCGTTGTGTGTTTCACCACCAGGAAATCACACAGTGGGTACCATTTTGTGTCTGGCTTGTTTTGTTCCACGTATTTTGAGATCAGGGAGCCTGGGTGGCTCAGCTGGTTGAGCGTCCGACTTCGGCTCAGGTCACGATCTCTTTGGGAGTTTGAGCCCCACATCAGGCTCCGTATACTGACAGCTCAGAGCCTAGAGCCTGGAGCCTGCTCTGGATTCTGTGTCTCCCTCTGCCTCTCCCCTGCTCTCACTCTCTCTGTCTCTCTCAAAAATAAATAAAACATTAAAAAAAGTTTTTTAGGGGCGCCTACGTGGTTCAGTCGGTTGAGCGTCCGCCTTCGACTCAGGTCATGATCTGGCGGTCTCTGAGTTCGAGCCCCGCATTGGGCTCTGTGTCTCCCTCTCTCTCTGCCCCTCCCCCACTCATGCTCTGTCTCTCTCTGTCAAAAATAAAATAAACATTAAAAAAAAATTAAAAAAAATTTTTTTAATGTATTTTGAGATCGATCCATTTCTCTGTCGAGTCTATAGTTATTTTTTTTGCTAAAAAATATGTTTATATGTATTGACCACATATTTTTATTTACCCCTTTCTCTTGTTGATGACATTTGGTTGTTTCTGGTTTTTGGCTACTATGGATAAAGACACTATGAACCTCCGTATTTAAAACCAATAACAACAAATCTGGCTGGCTTCCTAGGCCCCAAATTCCCATAATTCCACAAAAGCAGCTCAGGCTCTCCCCAAGAACTCTCTTTGCACATTCTGACCACCCCCCCCCC